GCCCCTCCCAATAAAAAAATATCAACAACCCTGAAGAATGCACTACATGCAAAAGCTTGTCTAAGTCTTTCCCAGTCATACATTTGGTCTGGTAAAAGATGTCACCCACAAAAGTCTTTGCCTCTCGCATGAAACATTTAAAATATTAACAGTAATGGCTTTAAGTTGCTGCGTGTAAAAATGAAGTTGAACTAATTACTGTTTATAGCTTTATATTTTAAAACGTATAATATGTTCTAAGATCCCCCCCTCCCCGATGAAAAGTCTTAGAGTACACAGTTTCTTTTAAATATCTAAATGCCTTTGATAGCATTTCAACATATCAGGTACAAAATGCTTGTTTGAGGGAGAACATGTAAGATTATAACAGTAGAATATCAACTTTACCTGTTAATGCTCTGGCTTTTAAAGATTTGTAATTACTCTACATATATTTTACAGTTTTGAGAGAATTTTTTTTTTAAGAATGATTACATTTGAAAGCTTGTTAGATGTATTTTTATTTATATTCTTTGACTTCTATGTTAAAAGTGAACATTTCTTGTCTAAAGTAATTAAAGTTTTAAAGGTTTATTAGTTCCCTGAAGATTTTTCTTGAAGTTGCAGTTTTTATGTAACAAATTTAAAATCAGCATAAAAATTAGATAAATCTTACTTCTTTTTACCTTTCATTTTATATTTAACTAACCTCCTTTTCTTTTCAGGCTAAAATTTAGAGCCAGCAAGTGGGTAACTAACTCACAGGTTTGCTGAGATACTTTAAGATGGCTGTCCTACTCCTTTTAATGGGAGTTTTTTCACCTTGCTCTCAACGTGTTCTTTATAATTATATAATTTGAATATTAGCAAGAAAAAAAAAAAGGGAAAGCTCTTTTTCCAAATGAAGGTATTATTAAAAATATGTATTAAGACATGAGATTTGTTTTAGGGAAGAACAACATTTTGGGCAATCATTGTAACATTTACTGTCCTTAACAGATTTCTGTGTGTAACATTTTGAGTTGCTTTCTAAGCGTTTCCAAACAGGCTTTACTCTAATGTTTTCTGTAACTAATATTTTTTTTTATTGCAAAATTAGGGATGAAAATGGAACACTTCTATTCTATTCTTCTTAGTAGTCCCATCCCATTGAAGGCAAAAACACTATTTGCATACATACTGTTTATAGGATTGAGATTTCCTAATAGCAGCTTTTCTGGGTACTCATTGATTTCATAGGCCCCATTTGCCTTTACCTGCATGGGTATAATAGGATCTAATGTGCAATTCATGCAGTTGTGCCTCCTGCCATGTTACACATGCATGGCAAGAGGTGGGATTGTGCATTAGCTCCCATTGTGCCTTTCTGCCAGTGGAGGGGGAGCCCAA